CCCGGCCGGCGCAAGGGCAAGCGGGCCACACGGTAAGTGCAGCCGGCGTCCCCCTCCTCCGGAGACCCGCGCGTCTCGTCTTGGCCCCTCTCCCCCCACCCCCAACCCGGGGCTCCCTCCCTCCCTCCGCCCCCCTCCCCCCCCCCCCCCCCCTGCGATCCACAGGCGGGAGGGAGGCTCCGGGTGGGCGAGGAACTTTGCGAAGCGCCTGGAGGAGGCAGCGCGCGGAGCCGCGGCGCGCACACAACCCGCACACTCTCACACCCACACGCGAGTCTTCCTGGGTGTGCGCCCCGAGCGGGTTACGTGTCTGTGAGTGTTGCCTCCGGAGCCCGGGCGCGGGGTCTGTGCCTCCGCGGACGCACGGACGGGCACCCTGCGCGCTCCCCCTCTCACGCGCACACACCTGGCCACACACAACGCGCCAGAGGATTCTTTTTTTCCTTTTGCCAATTGTCTTTGCTTGGGGAGAAAACTTGCCCTCTTGCCGGCCCTGTGGAGCCGGTGGCCACACTGAGAGCTTTTGAAGTCTCTTTCTTTTAATCTCCGTTATTGGTGCGAGATTAAAGCATTACTATCCCATGGTGTGCAGCTGGGGAGAAGGGAAAATTCAAAGAGGGAAAGACTTGATGTAGGAATGCTGTGTGGAATATTTTGCTCAGATTCTTTGGTGGCATGACATTAACCGGTTGGCGCAATCGTCTAGGGACACTGAATTCCTGTCCTATATGTATCTGTGGATATCTATATATAATACAAATAATCCCGAATATTATTGGGCCCAAAATAACCAATTAAGTGATTCATACACGCAAAAAGTTCGATAAAAAAAGAAACTGCGCCCTCTGCTGTTTATTCTAGTAACCTCACCCGGGGACCTCCACCCTCCACCCCATCCACTTAGGTTGTCATCTTGCAGGGCTTGCAGGAAAATTCCTAGCGGGGATTTTAAAGGAACTTTATTTGGAGAAGTCGGAGGTTGCGTTCCCATCGTCGCATCAGGTATAGATTTCCAGAGAGTAGAGGCTTTTGTTACCCAACTCCCCCTCCATTCTTCTCTGCACTCCGAACGGTAATGGAACCCCTCGTTATCATAACAGTTTGTCAGTCTTTGGAATGGAAAATTCTGAGTAAGATTCAGAATTCCACCAAGCATATGGCATATCTGGCACTCGTATTGCTCTAGAAATAAGGCCCTATTTTATGACTGAAAACACTAAAAGTTTTCCTATCTTACAGAAATGGTGGTGGTGGGGGGGACTACCCAGAAAGATCCTCCAACAAAATGCTTTATTCAAATTTACATAATAGTTAAGCTTGTTAGAAAAAGTTTCCCAGAAATTGTCTTTTCCGGAGACGGGACCAGGTTTTTCTGATTTGTCTAGACCTTGAGAGTATCTCTAACCTGTGGGGAATTAGCAACCTCAGATTTCTTTAAGTATTTTGAACTGTATCACTTTGAATGTCTTATCCTCCCCCCCCCCCCCCCCGCCCTTTCTCTTTGGCAAAGGAAAGGCCGTTCAATAACTGTCCAAGATTCTTTTGGAAGATAAGCAACTTTCAGTTTTTCATGAAGATAAAATTTGGGCCTTTGCATGTGGATAAGGATACAAAGGGGAAAAAAATGCATCAAGTGTTTTACACTTAATGTTGTTACAGTTTATAAACGTAAGGGATGTATTTCCTTTTCTCTTCTGGAAGCCATGAAATGACATCTGTTTCGCCACTAAAGACCAACATAAGGGCATTCAGAATTCCACATACTGGCTATTAATTTGGTGATACTTCCTACTGTGAAATTTAAGAGATATAATCCTAAAATTTTGTAAGAAAACAATTTATTTGCACACAAAGCTTTTTTTTTTTCTATTGAAAATTTTGTTTTGTCAGCTTTCACAGGGCACGTGTGTTAAAGTGATTCAGGTTAGCTTTTTTAGGAGGAAGCCAGTGTATTTTGCAGTTTCCTTTTGTATATTTGCAGTTGGTGCAACTACTTGTCTGCTTCCATTATTATTCTGAAAAAAATATGTCAAAGAATTAAACCATTACACATTTAGTTGATATGTTTTCTAAGTGTTGTAAAGATTTGGAGAGTTTTGGAGTTACGAGAGCATCAGGGCGCTTGGAGAGAAAAAAATTCATGCAACTCAGAAAGTCAATTATTGTGTTAACAAAAATGTGTGTGTGTGTGTGTGTGTGTGTGTGTGTGTGTGTGTCATATTATAGGTCAGTAAGAGATGTAGCATACTTTAAAAAAATAATTTCATCTTCAGAATCCAGAGTTTTGTTTCAGAACTTCAGGTGGGTGTACATTTTCTTAAATGTGTGTTTGAAACCTTGGATGTCTGAACTTCCCTATGTAAGAAGGCAAGATTTGCTGTTGTATGGGAATGAAACCCCAGATTTCTTCTAGGCTTAACTGATTCTGAAATAATTTTATGTATTATCCCATCCCCAAACATCCTGCCAAGTATATGCTATCTGATTTCTCTAATCATTCTTCTGTCTGTGAAAACTGAGATTTTTCAAATACGAAGGTGTGCTATTCGGTTTTATTAAGAATCTCATGATAGGCAGTTGCTCATAATACCCAATCAAGAATGAATAAGATATGCCAATGGCGTTGTAATACATGTTAAATTCCTTACATTTTGAGAGACAGTTAGCAAAAGGATAGAAGCAAATCTTTTCCATTAAGATGACTAGGAAATGCTTTCTTCACAACAAATAAATAAATGCAAAGAGCATTCAGTATATCTTAAATGTCTTGTCTAGTCCATCTCATTATGACAGTGTTTGAATCTGCTAATTTTGGTGGGTTATAGAATTTGGGTAATATCTTTATCTCTTTATACTTTTCACTCAATGAAATGTGATGATAGTCCATGTTCTTTTTGTTCCTTCCCATTCAGAAACATGCATATTTATAAAAGTCTTAATGTCTATGAGGAATGAGTCAATAGCTGTCTATTTCAGGTGCCCCTGAAGAGCTGAATATTTATGGAATAAATAGCCTACTACCACCAACCCCACCTCCTAGTGAAATTATATAATAAAACGAATGAGCTGGAGTTAACAGATTTACTGTCAATATTTTCCTCTCAGTTGATGAATTTGGCGATTGTTTTTAGAATATAATTGTCTATAATTTTGATCATTATTACTTCCGTGTAATATTTTGTAAGACTTCTCTTCTAGTGAGGGAAAGGGCCTGTGAAGGATCTTATGCAAAGTTAATCCAAGGTGGAAGGGAATTAGCTACAGAAGCCTGGAGAAAGATGTCTCATGGATGCAAAGCCATGTTATAGCCCATTTTAGTACAGATCAGTAATATCTGTCAACTTGAGGACATGACATAATTTTATGTTTTTACATTGGCTCTGCACATTTATATACCAGTGAGAGTCTTTGGAGTTCTCATAGCATATTAGTGGTTATTTTTTATCAAAGAGGACTTCTCAGTACTTTAGTGTGTAGGTAGAGATGATGGCATTATTTGAGTACAGTGAGTTTCCAAGATTTGCAAAGCAAAGAACTAGAACTGGGGCTGCCCAGAGCTCTTCTGAAGCTGCTCACATTTAGGTGATGCAGACACCTGATACAATTGAAAGCCCATATTATTTGGCAATCAGTTCAGTTATGGGCCAGAAGGGGTTGGTTTACTATATTAAACCTTCAAATATGTCATTGACTGTCTTTGTCATAATCCGTTTGCTTCGATATTTGCTGTGATGACCTAGCTTTTAAGAAGCAATTGATGATTTTAACCTGGTTGAAAGCATAGCCAGATGGGAACCAGTGCCATTAAGACAATAGAGGTTAGGGGGTAAACAATATTCTATTTTCATATCATTTTGTTTTCTTTGAAAACTCCATAATTATACTTTAATGGCAACTTTTCCATTTTGACAGAGGCTTCCTTTCCCACTGTGTGTCATGACAGTTCACAAATTTAATTTCTTACTAATTTTAAACTAAGAGGATTTTCTTTGAAGTGTATGTGGCACTGAAAAAAGTAAGGAGACCTTATATAAAGAATACACACTAGAATACATGCTACAAATACAAAAATTAGAATGAAATTAAGCAATTATGTTAAAGAACAGCTTAGTGACCCTCTGCTCCTGATCTGTAATATGCGTGGTCAATATCTTTTTCTGTGTCAATGGGAGCTCATTAAATGTAAATTCTGCAGACTAACTGAGCCATGCCATATTAGTGCTTGCCAAAGCTTGACATTTTTAATACATTAATAATATGTCTGTAATGTAATGGAAAACTATTAATCACAACTGGTTATGTGCCAGAAATTTAAGCTATAATTGGCTGCTTCTTGTCAAGAATGTCTGTCGCACAGTCCTGCAACTGCCTAATATTCAAATATCTTGCACTCCTCTGCGTTTTTCCTTGTCAGTGCTCTAAATTCGATCAATGGTGTAGTCCATAATTCTGTGTAATGACCATCATTATAATTCTGCTATACTTTAATGAGAATTCGTTCTGTTGGGATTGCTGTTGTATCAGGAAACAGTAACAGGCTCACATACATTTCCTTAGTGTCCAAATTTTTCACGTACAGCCACCTGGTCATCCTTTATTTTGTGGTTGTAGTAAGGCAAAATGTGGATAAAGAAAGGGATATAAGACATAAATAGATTAGGGGATAACATTTACTGTTTAACAAAAAAAGTGAAGATTAAGCTCCGAGAGCATTCAAATATATACTTAAGGTCACATTTGAAAAACAGTATTAAAAACTAATTCATAATTTTCACTTGGTACACCCAGAGCAGTCCATTCCTGGCCTTCAAGATTATATTGTTCTTGATAAATAAGTTGCTAAGTATTTGAAATTAAGAATTGAAGTTAATAAGTTCTAGTCTAGTAGATTTTACCCTTCTGCTGTCTGTTGTGATGCCCAGCTCCCCTACACCCCATGAGAGTCTTCTTGTGATAACAGAGTAGTACACACAGTTGAAAATGCATCTAGAAAATGTGCATGTGTATTATTTTCACAACCTTTTCAGATTATTAATTGTCAAATTGTTGGATGTTTCTTAAAATATCAACTTAAAATTAACACCAAATCTGAAAAAGCAGAAGGCTGTGCTAGCCACAACACATGCTTCTCTGTGATTTTTTCTTTTTAGCTTAAGATATCAAAATGTGCCCAACACGGTATAGTGTAGTCTTTATGTCACAAGGAGGAGGCAGATTCAAATCAGCAGTTTATACATGTTTAGACAAATTGCTAATTATTGCTTCGTAGGAACCCAAATATTCAACACTTTTCCTAATAGAAAATATCACAAATTGCAGCTGGATGATAACATTTTATGAATTGAATATAATGAAAATTGCACTTGCATCCATAAAGCAATTATTATAAATTACTTTGCTATGGAAACACTATTCAGCCATCCCTTGGCATTTCATAGTCTCTGTGGCTTAGTTCATTTTAAGATGGTGCATTATTTAAATATATTGAATTCCTTTTACAAGATTGTTTGAAGATAGTGAACTTCCCTATTTAAATTGCTTAATGTGAATTAAAGGGTCTGTAATGGTATTTTCTAAACTGTGGGCTTTTTTGTCCTTTTCAATTGTTTAAAAAATAGTTAATTATTGGGACTATGACACGATGAACCCACTAATTACACAAATACCTCTTTTTTACACCTGGGTTCCAAATGTTATTTTTTGTTTAGATTTGGACAGTGATCTCTAAAGAGAAAAGTTGCCAGTTAAACTCACCAATGACTAGTACTCATAGTTATGTAGGCTGCATTATCAGTTGACCAAAAGTACTTTTAAACAGTAATTTTTATTTTCTGTTAGAATTAGTGCCATATTATTCTGCTTCATGGCCTGTTAACTCACCCCCAGCTGTTTTTATATGTGCATTTTAAATTGTGCATTTTACTACAGAGCTTTTAGTTTTAAGGCAGCGTATAATATTTGCCTTTGGGACAAATTCTCTTCTGTTACAAAAAGTAAGTGCAAATGCAGATGTAATGGCTATAAAAAGATGTAAGAAAATAGAAAATTCTTATGAAAGGAAAATTTGCTCCTTTGGTTTTATTTTTGAGTATTTTTTCCAGAGAGCCAAGTTATCTTTATCACTAAATGCAACTAAACAAAAGAGGCTAAATTCTTCCATATAATGAGCAAATCCAGAGGGACAGCCTTGTGCCAACAATGCCAGTTTTTCACTCGGACTAACAAAAGCTAAGAAATGTACAAGGAATTTAGAGATTTTTAGGGTCTCTTTGCCAATAGACAAAAGGCATACAAGTAGTTGTCACTTCTTTGTCATTGTTATAAAAGCGTTCATTTTCCCCCATTGTTCTCCTGTAAGATTTTCTAGCATTGCAATCCATGAGAAATGTTTAAATCTAGCTGCTTGCTCTCAGTTTTGTCAAGATGGAAATATGATTTTTGAAGCGAAAACCTGTAACTCACCTGGAACATGCACATCTGTCTTTGTTACGGAAGAGTTAAGTCCTTCGTATCAAAATTCTCCCCAATGTGAATGATTTCTGTGGTTTGCTCATTCTAGCAAAGCATCGGCGTAAAGGTTATCCATATTACACCAATTTGCTTTATATTGCATCAACCCTCCCAAATGTCAACATATCAAACATTTTGTAATGCATCGATTCTAGGGCAATAACTTTTACTCTTCCTGTTTCTTAAAGGGTGTTGGTGCCAGAAGGAAAGAATGATTGATGAGAAGCAGACACCAGGCTATAGACACTCATCCTTTTGCTTCAGATACTATCAGTACATCTGAGCATCCCTTGTGAGCCACGAGCACTGAGGATCACCCAGGGTTATCGGATGTACAACGGCAGAGCCATCACATCGCTAAATCATCCTTTGCTCCTGGACATCTTTTACAAAAACCAAACTAGACCTGAGTGTAATAGATACGTTCTAGGACAACGAAAAAGCTGCACGTTGTTGGCGATGCCTACCGCACAAGTATGTTAGACTTCCACCCAAATCCTCGATATACCTGAACACGCACAATATCAACCCTTGGCTTTTAGATTTGGAATCTACATTGAGATTTCATCCTCTTTTTTTTTTTTTTTTTTAATATATAGACTTACCTACATATACACATATATGTATATGTAAAAGGGACATAGATCACAAATAAGCAAACCCTGCTTTATTACCACAAAGATTGCCAAGAATTTAGAGATGTATTTGTCAAGATTCCTGTCAATTCATGCCCTTTGGGTTACAGTGTCCTCAGTGATGCAGCCCTACCCTTTGGTATGGGGACATTACGATGTGTGTAAGACTCAGATTTACACAGAAGAAGGGAAAGTTTGGGATTACATGGCCTGTCAGCCGGAATCCACGGACATGACCAAATATCTGAAAGTAAAACTGGATCCTCCGGACATTACCTGTGGAGACCCTCCTGAGACATTCTGTGCAATGGTGAGGCAACCCTTTTGAATAGAATGTTTCATATTAAGTGGAGGCATGTCATTTATGTGTACAGATGTGGTGAGTGTGAAAACTCAAGCAATGAGCTGAATCTGCTGGTGGCAGATTGGTGCTAATAGGCTAGCTTTCTTCTCGGTGGAGGTTTGCAGGACCTGGGATTATGATTCGCAGGGTGATTCATGCACTGGAACGTGCCTTCTGCCTTCCTTACAAACTGAAGCTTCCACTGAAACAGGCGTACTGTATATAACTGAGAAAAGAAAGAGTTTGGCTGAGGGTTCAGTTTCAGATTGGAGTCTGGGAATATGATTAGGCCAAATGTCTTATAGTAAAGGATAAAATCCATTGGTAAACCAACTTTAGAAAAACAAAGTTCTCTTCACATGCCTGTATAGGGCCACCCTTGAGGTTCATTGTTCAAGGCTAGGTTAGAGTTCATGGTTTTCCTCATCAGGAAACTGATGTGATGTGGAAGTCCTTGGTTAGGAGGTCAGTGAGAAGAGAAGCAAAGAAGAGAGGAGGTAATGCCTCCAGAAAAGTCTTCTTTGTCAACTCATGTAGGGTCCTTATTTTCAAGGGTCCTGGTTTTCTATGGGTACTTTAAATACGAATGTTGGAATGTTGAAAGCATATTTGCTGAAAAGTAGTGACCTCGGCATACAAATTCAGATACTATCCTTTTGAGAGGCCAAGTTAAAGAATTCATTGTTTTCGTGGTGTACATCAGTCTTTTCCGGGGTGAAAAGTTAAATGTTATGTGAAAGGAGAACTCTGGAGTGACACATGGGATTTTCACTAAGGACATGGTTGAAAGTTTACCTAAAGGTATTAGTCACGAGTTTGGTGATTAAGCTGATGTAAATGAAGGTGCTAGAGAGTCCAGATAGTGTGTTCATTTGGTTTATGTCATTTTTTTTTATTATTACAGGCGGTCTTTATTTGGTAGACCCCAATTGTGATCCCATTTTCCCCCACGTAACAGATATAATCATATGGCAGATTTTAATAGTATTCTTATCTGACTTTATTATCTTGAACCCGGCCTGGCATTTTCAGGATAGTGAAACTATTAATCAAAGTAGCATCTGTTCACAGTCCCCAGTGAGTTAAATTAGCATAAGATCATCTTAGACCTAGCACTGTGGAAAAGGTTTTGTAACAGGAAACAATTTTGAGCAATAAAGAGTGTTTTTACCTAAAAGCTAACGGCTTGCCATTTTTCAGAAGTGCCTTTGGGGACTGGTTTGAATTATAGTCTAAACCTGATTTTGTGGAGGGTGAGAAAAAGATCTTGGCTATTAGGTGTCACAATGACTAAAGTGCCCTGAAAGACTAAATATTTCAAAGAGAGGACCCGTCTCTCTGGGAAACAGGTATGTGCTTTGCAAAAAAAAAAAACACAAAAAACAAAAAACAAACCAAAAAACCAAAAAACGTACATTTTAGAAACCAGAGACTTCTAGAAGAGTACTTCATTCAAACACATTAGCAAAACTATAATAAATCTGTAAAAGAGCAGGGACATTTGTTGCCTTTGCGTAAGGTCTTTGATAATCTCTCATAAAAGGTCAAATTTAAGATCTCATTGCAAATTTGGAGTGAAATTGCTGTGCAGGTGATAAGTTGTGCACTCCTCACAGCAGAGAATGAGTTCTGGGCCAACTCTTCATATTATGAAGAACACTCTAGCTCTATATATTGGTTTGCATGACACTTGTAGCAATATGCCTCTTCTGGAATTGTTTAATAATTTACAGATTGAAGTAAAAGAGCAGACATCTTTCTGCAGCGTGCCGTTTCCACTTGCATAGGTCCTGTATAGTGTGTTCAACCTGTAATTTAAATATGCAGCTTTTCTGATCTCAGCGCCTGGCAAGAAAAGGCAAGTTCGGCACTGTTCCTGTCCTTTTGGGGAAGGGTTTATTGACTGGGTGTCTTTAGTGTGCATCTCTTTCCGATCATGAGTGGGAAAGGGCACATTACAGAACTTCTCATGCTTCTCATGCCTTTCACAGGACATGGTGTAAGGTCTTTAAGCAAGTCAGTTCCCTACCAGTTCCCTAGCTATGTGATGTTAAAGACCAAAAGAGAAAAAAGAATTAAAGTGATATCCCTCAACTTTCTCAAGTGCAATAATATGTATACTTTGTATGTTTACCCCAAGATCCACAAGACCGCCTTTTCAAAGGCTACATCTGAGTATGAGGCAGATATTTGGAAGCCTTGGTGCATGTAAACTTGTCACAGAGCAGAAACGTTTTTCAAGGGAGAGTGTACGATTTGTGCGATGTTACCTATCAGTGCCTAATTTGGACTCCTTAATATGCATATGATTGGCAGAACAGATTTAATAATCTATCCTTTAAGCACATACTTTGGGGCTATTTGTATGCATATTATATGCCAAGTCAATGATAATGGCCTAATAGGGCAACACTTCCTCTCTCTAGTTTTGGATTTTCCATAAAACTCTTTAGTGTAAGGGTTCCTGACACCAGGCTGTAAAGCTGTCTCAGGATGCTGTCATATCAGACCTGTTTAGGTGCTCCCTAGCCCAAGGTCTAATGGGAATCCATAAAGTCATTTGTGTTATGATTTTCACACTTTCCTCCTTGACACACACATCCATCCCTTCCTGCTCCCTCAGAGTCGTTATGGCCCATTACATCAGCGTTGCTGCCACATAAGCACAATCACTACTTAGCCCTTATATGTAAATGTTTGCTGCAAAATGGTTTCAGAAATCACCTGCTCAGTTACTGACACCCTTATTAGCTGTGAGTATAACAATTCTGAACACTAAGGGCACATTTGGTGAGAGAAATACCCTGAAATTCCCCTGGCTGATTTGTATAAAGTTGAAGTTCATTGGCAATGTGTTAAGAGTCAGTGTTGCCGCTTTCTGCACTTGCTCCATCATTATGTGGCTGTGACTATCCAGGAATGCAGCATATAGTTTATGGTGAAATTTTAGGGAAAAAAGGGCCACGTGATTCTGTTTGACAATAGATCTCGGCTTGCTAACCCAGATGACCTGTTTAATAACTCTTTAATATATAGTGGTTTTAAATTGCTGTATATTAGTACTACCAGTATTTGTGAACATAAATTTTATGGGAGAACTCTGCCGTTCCTATTCATGACAGTAAAATAGGGGAAACACATACACATATACACACATCTATATGAATTGTGTATATTGAGACTAATATATATGAATTGTATATATTGAGACGATACATCTTCTTTTTAATTTAATGTATTCTTTTTAAGCTGTTGGTGGCCCAAGAAATATCTCTGCTAAGGAGGAAGAATCTGAAGCATAGACGCATAGATTAGGCTTTTTGTTTTTTAGGCTGGGGTAATATGTTAGTATAGATCATGTCCTTCTTCCAGCCACATAAAAGCTTCACATAGCACAGCTTTGTCAGAAAACACGGATCATCCAGTGACGACAATTTGTTTCAATTTGCATAAAGAGCAAATAGGATGATCTGAACCCGTGTGTAAAGCTGAAGTGACAACACAAAGCTATGACTTGTTCTTTGTGTTTAGACAAACTTAGCTGTCATATCTGCACGCAACACCCCAGTGGCTTAAAAATGGCAAAATTATCTGCAATTATCTCCAGCCTGCAGCTAATTTTCTGGATAAGTTAAACAGAAGCTTTGAAAGGAAGCCCACAGACGGAAGAAGTCATGTGCGTTTGTACAATTGATGGTGCAGCAGTGCTGATGACTGTGGAAATGGGAGCCCTTGAGAGCTGCTGTGGATTTCAGAGCCAATCAAAACTAAATTAGGAAACAAAGATTATTAAAAAGTCTTCTGTGCATGTAATTGTGGCATAATATTATGAGGTGGACATTAAGTGTTTCCCTTGGAGACCCTCGGCATCATGAATGCAGTGCGCCTTTAATTACAAGTAGACTCATATTACTAAAAAAAATGGAGAAAATAAAGTACTCTGAGGTGTAGTTAGCAATACCCTCATTATGTTTACTGAAATAATTAAAAGAAAGGATGTAATTTTTCTAAATAAAATGTCAGAATTTGAAATGAAAATGGATTTTCTTTAGGAAATTTACTAATGTGTGCCCCTGCTCTTGATAGGCGTTTACTCAAGTACCATAACAGGCCTATTAATGATCGTTCCATATTATGCTATTTCCAGATAGACTCCTATTAAGAAAAAAAATACCTTAATTATCGTAACCATTGTGGATAGAACATATTTCATTTTGTTCAAATGGAATTTAGGAAAGTAGTGGAAAGCCTTTGGGTTTTATGATTTTAACGGAACCCAGCAGGATGGTGAGGGGTAATGCATAGTTGCAGGGCAATCCAGAACTTAAATTTCGAATTTGACATCAGTGCAGGTTGCCATCTGGTGGCTATCAGGTGGCCTCTGAGAAATTAGTTTGATAAACTGAGTTACATTTTCAGTGACAAGGCATTAATATCAATTTTCCAAAAACTGGAAATGACATTGACTTATATGATAATCAAATAATCTTAAAATAACTGTTCACATGAAATGTAATTCAATAAATGAATGAAGTTTTAATAACAGTGACATCTTTCATTTGAACTGATTTATCCCTTAATTATCCCAGAATGGAATTTAAAAAATAAAAACCATCAGTTCCTTCATTACTAACACTTCATTGTTATTTAGTTCATTATTTAGACTCATTTCTTAGAAAAGTTTAATTCATGTTTGAAATGAATTCAGTTTCATGGAGATCAATCTTTTTGATCTATCACTGTATCAAGTATTTCCTTGTTGAGGAGCCTACCATAGCTCCTTATTGTCTGTTGCATCAAGTCTAAAGTACTGTAGCTGGGTTTTAAATCTGGTTGTATTCAACCTTTTTTCCCATTCCCACTAGGACCTTGTGTATGGCACCTTCAGGGGACTTATGGCTAATGATCTGATTGGGAGGGGGCTACTGCATTTGGATTGAAGTTCAGTGGCATGGCATGAACAGAAT